AGCGAAAACGTTACATGATGCAAACATTACATTGCTTATAAATGAGTTTACTTGCAGCTTCAATTGTCATATCACACTCTCCGTGTATTAAATGTGAATTTCCCTGGTATCTAAAAAGTGATGGAGGACTTCTGAAGAATGAAATACACACTGAGTGCCAAGGAAATATAATTTACCGGGAAAACACCTTGTAAGTTCGTGTAACTGTTTTCTTAACCATTATTCAAAGGCTAAAAATCCTTGTTTTGGGGGGAAAGTTGCTTGAAAATGAAAAAGGCGCTTTAATTGAACATGTACACCTACCTTTACCTGTTTTTGGTAGCAATGTTTATTTGTTTGTGGCCAAATACTCGCTCCTGACGCGTGAGGCGCTGCTGCGCGCTCTTCACTACAGCAGCGCTGAACGCGTTTCAGTGATGAAATGATGTTTACCGTCAAGTGGCTCACACTGTCGCAAAACCGTGAGCTCTGCTGAAAACCGTTCGAAATGAAGGGGACACAGAACAACAACGCGAATTAAAGTTGTCAAATACTTCACGGGTCGACTCTCAGTTGGCATCTTGATCCACATGGCAACGTTCAACGGAGAAGGTACGTAAAGATATCATCTATATGTACAAAATCTCACAAAAACACTGTTTGGAACAGATTTTAAAAGAAATTCCTGTGCAACACAGGTAAATAATCACAACCATGATTCAAATATTGACGCTATTAAGTAGATAGATTAAAGAATTAAAGTCCCTTTTAGTATATAATACTAATAATGTTTAACAATTGTTTTTATTGTTGTATTTATTGCTCTACAGACATTGAAAGTTCATGTTACAATTTGATATAAGCCTATTTAATGTTTCTGATATATCTTACAATTTTATTTATATATATATATATATGGCAATCAAAGTTGTAATAATATAATAAACACATACACATTTATTGCTTGGTGTAAAAAGTGAAATATCTGCACTATATTGAGCGTAAAGATGTTTTATTTTTATTTCACATTTACATATAAAATAATTTATATATTTCATTTATAGATAGATAGATCATTTATATTCATATATATTAAATGTATTTATTGAATACTCTTTTTTTTCCCCCTATACAGTGCACAGCATAAATGAGTACACCCCCTCTGAATAAATATAAAAGATGTATTTTCTTAATGATCACTAATATAATTAATATAATTCATGGAAAGATGGCAAAATTGAAACATATTAAACATATACTTAATAAAAACAACAAAATATATGCCAATATTTTCTGTAAGATAAGTAAATTAGCCAATTTTGTATAAATGAAGGATTGCAGAAATGAGTACACCCGAGATTTAATTCAGAAAATGTATAATATTCTAGTACTTAGTATGTCCTCCAGAACTTAAAGTATACTGCTCTGACCCTTCTTGGCACTGAGTGTACAAGTTCATGACAAATTTTCAAATCAGCAACACCAGAACATTTTGGATGCTTTTGGAGACGAAATGATTGACTTGGTCTCTTGAGACCAGAGTATGGATTCCCAGAAGTCTCTATTTTGTAAATCTGGGCCCTGGAAGAGGTTAAATGAGTTTATTTTGCTTTGGATACAGTAGGTAATTCTAGTGGTGACAACAACCATGCATGTCACTTCTGCAGGCTGCGTCATACTCTGTGAGATAAAGTGTCACTCTTTTCATAGCTTTTGCCGGCTC